GCTCCAAACCCTCCCCTGGGTAGATTGTAAGGGAGATAGAAGATGTGTGTTACTGACTACTTTCCATAGTAAGTGATCAATTCTTCCATATGTTTATCTCATTTAATGCCCTCTCTAACCACCTGAGTCAGCTGATACTTTGAGCACACAAAAGGTACACAGTCAATAGGAATTTAGAGACCTGATAAAAATGTAAGAGATGTGTACATCAAGTGATAGTATCCTGATTTGAATAGATGAAGAAGCTATACTTCACAGAAAACCATTTTGACACCTTACCAGGTGTCACTGTAGTGGAGCCAAGAATGAATCTATAGACCTCCTATTTGGCTGGTCTAATATGCTTTAATAAACAATTCCAAGCTCCCCTCAACAGGCAATGTAGACGCTTACTGTTTAGCTTGTAAAGCAAACAGCTGAAAATGGCCTTTAGCTACCCAGTAGGTTTTTTTTTTCTTGTCAAAATTTTTGTTGTGAATTGGGTGAAGATTTACAGAGCAAAATAGTTTGAACAGTTCATACACATTTTGTTCCATATAATTGACTACAGTGCTCACTAATTTTTTGCCTACTTCCCTCTTATTGTATATTACTTTCCCCTTCACCCAAACGAATGTGTTTGCCCTCTAGTTAGAAATTTGCACTCCTTTCCCCGCCTACCCTTGATGATCATCATAGAATGTTTCTTTTAGTGTGAAAACCTTGTCTTCACTTTTAATCATTGTTATTGCTGTTCAGTGTTATGGAGTCGGTTCCAACCTATAGCGACCTTGTATAGGGTTTCCAAAGAGCAATGATCTCATATAATATTTGCTCTTTTGTAATGGACTTCTCTAACTCAGCATAATTATTGTCTTCTAGTTTCATGTTATGAGGTGTTTCACAGATTCATCATTATTCTTTAATGTGTAGTGTTTCATTATATGTATTTACCATGGTTTGTTTATTCTTCTATTGGGGACATATAGGTTGGTTCCCTCTTTTGGGTATTATGAATAATCCTGCAATGAACATGTTGTTGTTGTTAAGTGCCATTGTGTCAACTGCAACTCATATGTATGTATGTATATATGTATGTGTATGTATGTATGTGTATGTATATATATACACATACATACATACACATACATATATAAACTCTAAGAGACCTGGTGTGGCACTGTGGGTTAATGTGCTGGACCACAAAGTCGTTTGAACCACAAGGTAGGCAGCTTAAGCTACACAGGGTATACTGTACAGGAAACACTATAGAGGGTCGCTAATGGCCAGAACCGACTTGATGGCAACATAACATTAATTCTGGGATGAGATGATACTCGTTGTTTTGATCTTCATCTTTCTAATGGTTAATGATTATGAGCATTTTATCATAATGTTTGTTGGCCACCTGAATTTTCTTCTCTGGTGAACTGTGTTGTGTTCTTGTCTTCTGTCATTGCTTAATTGGATTTGTCTTTTTCTTAATGAGGTTTGCATTTTTCTATAAATTTTAGAGATTAGCTCCTTGTCTTATATATTGTTGTAATAAAGCACCCTTTAGTCAGTTCTGACTCATTGCAACCCTGTGAAGAGTTGCTGACGCTGTAAATCTTTACACAAGCAGAAAGCCTCATCTTTCTTGCACAGAGTGGCTGGTGAGTTCAAACCACTGACCTTGTGATTTGCAGTCTAATGTTTATGCTACAGAACCACCAGGCTCCTTGAATGATAAATCATTGCCAGTTTGTTTTTCCCTCAGTCACTGGTTTCTGTTTGGACTCATGGTGAAATATTTTGATGCACATAAGTCTCTAATTTGGGGGAGTCTATTTTGTCTTATTGTTTATGTTCAATAAACATTATTATCAATGGAGAAAAGACTGAAGTTGTCAAGGACTT